CTTCTTCTTCTTAAAGTATAGGGTATGTTCTTTCCTTTGATATATTGCATGTTCAGTCATTCATGCAACAAAAGTATTCTTCGTTTGAGTTTATTTGACATAAAAAGTAGCAATACAACTGCGCTATGAATTCTTTGTCAATGATAACACAATAAAGTTGCATTCATTTATTTCCATTGTGGGCCTTGATTTTAGAGAGTGATACTCATTTATTTTCTTTTAAAAAGTTGTTCAATATTTTATCCAGGCAATTATTATAAGGCATGTATGTAAATAGCCTTAACGATCCAAAAGGTAAATAAAAAAAAAAAAAAAAAAAAAAAAATTGATGGTTGGCCTTCCTTTTGTAATCTTTTTCTTTCAGAAAAAGTATGAGAATATTTAATGATCCCAGTGCTTTTTACTGCTATCTTTGCAATAATTTTACTTCCTTTCTATTGTGATGTCATGATAATATGCATGAGTCTTTTTACTTTTAATTTGAAAGCCTTTGAAGAATTTTACAGTTGAATTGTTCTTTTTAGAAAGCAAGATAGGGTGAAGTTCAGTCAGTGGTCAGATAACCAAAAAAAAAAGTATTTTATTGTACTTTTTTTTAGTTATAGAAGGTGAAGAGAAAGTGAAATTGAAGAGCTTGTAGGACAGAGAGCAAGTTCACATTCAGGCATTGTTTTGATACTGTCCTCGATTGAGAGCGTAATCTTAATATCTGTTTATGTTATTATTATTATTATTACCATATTGTGAACATGTTTCTATTACTAAATATGTTTGGATTTGACAACAAAATATTACAGAAGATTTCTACATTTGATCATAAACAATAAGCAGTACGTCAGTAGTCAATGGTCGTATTGTGTGATTCAGATTGCAAATTCCTATCAAACGTGTTAAGATAAATATATGAGCTAATATTATGTATGATAAAGTAGAAAGTAAGATAAAGTATGAACTGCTTTTATAGGTAGTTTTAACCTATAAAAGGTATTGATTATTCAAGTTGGTATCTAAGGGTTAACATGCTGAACATGTGAAAGCCTCTTTGGCCTGTATGTCATGTTAGTCAGGCCCACATTAAGAAAAGCCATGTCAAAGCAAACAGGTTTCCAGAAAGAGTAATAACTTTTGCGCATAACTTAGTTTACTTTAACTAGGTTTAACATTGCCTTCTTTCTGACTCATACGTTTCCTCATTATTGTTTTGCTGGGTTAAGTGCTTTAAATTGGAATAAATAAATAGATTAATGAATACATAAAGGACAGAAACAAATAATAATATTTTTGAGTATACTGCAAATGTGTTTAACAATATTAATATCACATTATATTGCAAGGCTCTTAATTGTTAAATATGTAAATATATGTTCAATAATATTTTAAAGTGAAAGTTTATTAGAACTGAACATATCTACACAGAAGAAAACGTCATAGCTTTGTCCTTAATTCATCCAGGCTATAAAGCTCTTAAATTCTCCTTTGTAGTTTCCCTAATGAAAAGTTGCTATAGTTACAAGGCAGCTTTACTGTTTTTTCATGCCATGATACTCTCTCATTTATCCTATTGTGTTACTAGATGGGGCCAAGCCTCCCAGACAACAGTCAAACCCATTATATCATTATACAAAACTGAAAATAATGGATCAGAAACCAACTATGTGGCACCACTGTTTGATTGTACAGAAATAGAAGCTTTTCAATTTTGATAGCTTTATTAAAGTTCTCTTTTCTTAAACTGACTTTTAAATGTGCAAATAATCTAGCTCCAGCCCTTTTGTGACAATAATGAACACAAGGAGAGTGGCCACTACACTGGCAACTGCACAGCAGAGGGGCGCAAAACCTCTTTCGGCCAATCATGTTCTTCAGTGATAGGGACCCATTTTTGGAATGATTTACCAACTGAAATAAAAACACAAACCGAACTGAAACCATTTAATAGAAAAGTGAAACACTGGCTGAAACACAACCAAACATGTGGCCACATGTGTTGTAATGTATTGTCTATGCTTGATGCCTTTGGGCTTGTGTTGTTACGTGATGTGCTGTTTTGTGTAATGTGGTCACGATTCTGTGAAAAGTTGATGTAATACATTAGTATACAATGTATATGCTGCATGATTGTGTAACTCACACTATGTAGTTTTATTTTTTATTTTCTATATATGGATTAGCTTTTTAGAAAGGCCTGACCAGGGACTGGGGTTGCAAATTAGCCTTTTGGCTAGAAACCTTTTATGCAACACACATCTACACATATTGTTATGGCTTTGACTGTGATAATTATGTATGTAATAATGTGCGCTGCATTGTCCCTGACAAATAAACTAATAATAATAAATAAATAAGAATGTAAATGTAAGGTCAACACAGCTAAAAACCAAGCTCCTCATTACCATGGTTGTATGGTTTCTATGACAACAACAACAATACTATTAATAAACTATGGTATTTGTAATGAGAAACACCTTAAACTTTATAAAGGTGACTTGTGTGCCCTTATATTAACCAATATTTAATGTAAAGCTAATAATAGTAATATTAACAACAAATAACCATGTCATATTTCTACATCTTTAGTTGCTGCATGGTCATTTATAGGTGGGTCTGTGTGTATTGAAAAGCTTGTAATTATGTTGTGTACAGTTTACCTCAACACTTCAGTTTACATGGAGCTTATTTTTATCACAGAGCAACTTGTAGTTTAGCCGGTATATCCCGTAACAGGTTTTTAAATGTGTCAGATTTACATTTGCTTATTTTTTATTGCACATCTATTTACCCACAAAAGCTTATGATGAACATTTGGGTCAAATTGGTATCATTTTAATTCAATGAGATCATCAGAATTTCAGAATATTCTAACCAGAGTTTGTTTAAGGAATAATTACAGTATTCATCCTCTTCAGTGTGTGTCTCTTTAACACTTTGATATGCATGAGGTTTGAGCTTCACTGAGAGCCAGTATATGATCAGCTAATAATAATGTTCAGATTTCATTCTGTTTGTCTTTATCGATGGTTAGATTATCTCGTCATAATTTTTTAACCCTTTTACTTTTTATCACATGATCTACAGCATTCTTATGACAGATTTTAACGTGATTATTTTTCTCATTTGTGTTTGCCATTGTGTGATCATGAAAAAAAAAATGAGAGAATGCAGTGGTGACAGTCACTGTAAGTAGATTTGGGGGATTCTCCATCAACTGCATTTGCAACAATTAATGGAAAAATCCACTTTGGTGACTTGATAAGAATCATTCAGTGTCATTTATTTGAGAATCATTCATCATTCATTCAGATGACAGTAAACCTCAATGTCAGGTTAGGAAATACACAGTACTTCTCATGAGATGCTCATACTTTACTGTAGTTTAGAGGATGAAATATTAGTGCCAGATTTAGTGAATTTAAATTCATAATACATTAACAAATCTTCATTTATTCAGCTTGTTAAAAGAATCACATGCTCACAAGCTTCTCATGATCTCCATTTTGACAAGGGAGTATGTAAGTGACATAATGCCATGACTAATTAATCAAACCTTACTGTTCAATTCTTTACCAAAAACTCTTGACATACAAAGCATTGCATTTGATAACTAGTAAGAATAGAGAGCTAAATCAACATAGTGAGACATCTAGTTATTTGATATGTGTAAATGTATACGATACGTATACATTTACTGTCAGGACACATTAAAGTGTGTCACATAAGCCTAGGTTTTTTTGAAGGACAATGAAGTCTTTGTGGATTGTGCAGGCGAGGAATTTAGAACAATTCTAAAGAGTGTAATTGTTGCTCCTCCGGTAAACGTTGAACGTAAGTCCTTAAATTCTTTAAGAACAAAGGCCAGTGTTGCTCGTCTTATGAAGGGTGTTGTGAATGCGAACAATATAAAAAACATTGGCCTACGACATGTTCTCATTTAGGGAAGGACCAGCATTTGTCTGTTTGGCCTGTTTTATGCATCCTCATGTCCTCTTTGTAAATCAAGTTCCATGATTAGAATTTGTTGCTGTTTCTCAATGTTTTTTCCTTCATTGTCGATACCCAAATATTAGATATCGATTTGCCTAATTTATTTGTAAATTAGCATGCCATTTCCCAGCCATTTTAAAAAGACATTACAGTTTACTTTAATAAAAAGCCTTTCCCAAACTCGTCTTATGAAGGGTGTTGTGAATGCGAACAATATACAAAACATTGGCCTACGACATATTCTCATTTAGGGAAGGACCAGCATTTGTTCGACATGTTCTCATTTAAGGAAGGACCAGCATTCACAATAACAGTAAACAGTAAAGAACAAACAATCAGTTAACACATAAATGGACAATAGACATTTGCCCAGTCCAAGAAAATGAGCGATTGCAGTTGCATATCGCATTACATTTAGAATGCAGACAAAACAAAAACAGAAACAAAAAACACTTTAGGGTTTAGCTTTGAGGTTGAGTTACATTCAAAAAACATTTGATATGTATTTCTGCATTTCTGTTATGATCTTGTTAGTTTGCACAACTTACAAACCTGGCATTAATTGACCACTGCCTGCATCCTTCCAGATGTCTTAGGGATGAACTCTAAAGCTTTTAATGTGACCATTAATTATTTAAACTAATTAGCATTATTAAATGAATTAACTATTATTTTTTTGTAAATCTTATGTAAATCACTGGGTGTTTTAAGCAACTATTTTTTACATTTACTAAAATACTGATCTAATCAAACTGACCCATCGTTATTCCATCTAGATTCACAAGTGAACAAAAGGTGAAAGAATGTCTTTCTGAATGCAGGTGTACACCAGGAAACTATCAGTTCAAAAATCAAATATCTCAATGTCACATGAAAAACTGGTTTAAGCTATTGTTGAGAAATGACATCTAGTTCCAGTAAAGGTCCACCTACAGGTATTAAAGGCACTGATGAGATTGTGAGATCTGCAGTTCAGCATCACTGTGTTGAACTACTGAAGAGAGAATCTCATAGACCAGTCATCAATCTGAGATTGCTCTGCAGCCGATCTGACCTCAGGTAAAGTTACTTCTGTTTTATCCCGTTTGGGCTCTAATGAGTTTGGCTGTTTCTTTTTTAAGTATTTGAGTGAATGTTATAGTTATTTTACAAATGTGCACAACAAATAAAGAATAAAATACAACAACATATAAGAAACACATCGTGTGTGTGTGTGTGTGTGTGTGTGTGTGTGTGTGTGTGTGTGTGTGTGTGTGTGTGTGTGTGTGTGTGTGTGTGTGTGTGTGTGTGTGTGTGTGTGTGTGTGTGTGTGTGCAGGTGCTGTTCGACACAATGAGGTTTCTGATCTCACTGTGTGTGTCGCTGCTGCTGATTAATGGTGAGTGTTTTATAATCATATAAAATTACTGATTTTTTTTCACAATAATAAACAATTATGCTTTGTATTTAACAGGTGAACTAACCGATGGACAAACAACAGGTACAATCATTCTTTCACTTCATCCAATCTTCAATTCATCCTTTGTTTTTCATTAAAAATGTTGAAATAAATGTAGTAGAAATAATTAATATGATAAAAGAGTTTTCCTATTGATTTAAAACCTTCTCATGTTTTAGCACTTTCTTACACATTGAAATTCACAGGAGACTCCAAAAGAAAAGAAAAAAAGTTTATTTAGTCACAAAAGATTATTACTAAAAAGCTAAATTTGTATATATATATAAATGTATATATTAAAAAAAAACTATGTATATATAATTTTGTATTAAATTGTAACTATAAATAAATAACTATTTTAACTTTATTTATTTATTTATTTAATATACACTGCAGTTCTATTTGTAACACATAAATGTTTTGAGACAAAACCCAGAGGCCAGACACGTGTTTGAAATTTGTGACATTTATGAACTGCACAAATCTCAAACACTTGCTTGTTTTTTATGTCTTTTCTTTTTTTTTTCTTAGTTGAAAGTACTACTGTTATACCAGAGACATCCACAATCGTAACCACGGAAACTACAACCACAGACATAACAACTGGTAATAAAATGGGCTATATTATTCTGGAAGATTATGTATTTATTTAGGAGGCTTAATATGCCATATGAAACCTATGGTATAAGGGAAAGTAAATATAAAATGCCAGGTGTTACAGTTGCATTTTTTTTTTTTTGCATTTGTAACATATTTCAATACTACAATTATATATATATATATATATATATATATATATACAGTATATATAATATATATATAATATTTTCTCTTATTGATGGAATAATATACTGAAGGTACAGTAGTTTGCAGACGAGGGGAAGCCAATAACAAAAATTGCATAGTGAGACATCTAGTTTAAATATTACTGCTTATATATGTACACACATTTACACATGTACATATATCCGCTATTCCGCTTACAGAGGGGACACACTGTTCAGAAGACAAGAGGTAGGTGAAATAAAAAGTCTCTGGATCAAAAAATCTAATTACGTACACAATGCAGTCAATGCCCATCCCATCTCTGCAATAATAATTAATAAAGGCTGGTTTTTAAAGTAATTCTTCCTGTATTAATGTTCATGGGTAGCCTAAATGGGTTCCATTCAGGCCATAACAATAAGTCTTTTACTGTTATATGTCAACAAGATTAAAAAAATAATAATTTCACCTGCTATACCCAATGTAGCGACTACGAGAATGAACCAAACACAATTGAAGCTTTTGGTGATTGTTCATACATAACCATACAAAAGAGGCTTCACATTCCAGATTCAAATCACCAAACCCAGAGCCATAAATCACCCACAGGCCCCAGAGAGTCTGCAAGCAAAAATACTTTTTATTGTTTAACTAAAAAAAGAACGTTGTCAACGTTTCTATAATTTGGCAAGACAGATCTGTTCAGAAATGGTGAAACAAGAGGCCTTAACAAGAAGTCACCTGACCCCTGCGACTAACAGACTACGTCTTTCTTAAGAACCAAGGTCCCATGAGAGATGAACAAAACAGACTTCAGCAGGAACTATCCCTGACCTCAGACTGGAATGGCTTAAACCCCATAAACTTTACACACTAACACACTTTACATATCAAAATCCATAAAACTCATCCCAGAACAATTCCCGATGGACTTATAATCAAACATCATGCAACTACATAATTCTATGTTGTTTCTACAATATATGTGTGTGTGTCTAATATGCTTCTTGGCTTGATTGAAATCTGGGTAAAATGTTTTGTATTCTTATAATAGTAATAATGGCTAAACTGTGGCCTCTTGTTCTCTCTGCTATGCTGGAGAGCAAGGAGATCACAGATAACGCATGATTTACGATAAGAAGACAATAGAGCCACCTCCTAAATTAAGCCAGTGTCTAATTGGCCAGAACTCATCCTGGAGGTTGGACAAACTTTGAGTTTAAAATCTTAGACCCGAACACAGAAGCGCTCTCTTTTGCCCTCTCTCGCGCTCTCTTGCGGGCTCTCTGTCTCGGAAAAAGTCTCGACAGAACAACAAGTCGGGTGGAGCAGACGATGGTTATAGTAACCATGTAGACGCATAGAGACAAATGACCCAAATCAAGATCAGGGTTTAAAACAGCTTCATTCAAGCCACTTTCCTTTGTTTTCTTTTCCGTTAAAAGTCTCAGTTCTAAGTTAAGTTTTGCTGCAAAGTTTCGTTTAAACGTTTCGACTGCAACGCGCTTCCAACTTCAAAGACTTTCATCCATCCACCAACACACCACGTGATTGGCTGCCCAAGATCTAGCAGGCACGAGGAGACCGCCAGCCAAGCAATGGACCCGGGAAACCCCTTTACACGGACAAAGGGGAATCCCCAAAGCAAACCGAAGACAAGCAAGTAGCCTTCAGACTCTAAACTGAACTGGTGCATTAATATAAAATTTAATATCCTGCCTAAGAAACGATAGAAGGGTTAAACCGATGATTGATGGTTCGTTCCGGTCATGTCTTTTAAGTGCATATAGAAACTTGGGATCTCACCATCTGACTCCTAAAACTCATTCTTTCCAAACTCTTTCTTTCTTTCGGCAACTTGTATGAATGCGTGTGCGTGTGTGTGTGTGTGTTAGAAATTAGTTTTATGTGTTAGTCATAGGCTTATAATCAATAAAGTATTGTTTGTATTTGAAAAGAGAAGCATTACTTGTGTTATGTGCTTACGAATTTATTGTCTTGAACTGCGATAAAAGCTACCTATGCTTTTACCCTTGAATTATTTCTTAATTTAGCTGTTAGCTGGGAATTAGTCTTTCTTGGCCAGGAAGATATTATATTTCCTAGAATTAATAATTGTTTATGCTTTCCGTTCATTGGATGAACTGATCAAATTATCATATTGATTCTGCTACAGTAAATTCTGAAAATAATTAAATTATTAATTACTGATCATAATCCGTTATGAATAATAATTAGTTATATTTATACGGGCGTATAAACGCTACACCAATGTTTAGATCTGTTTGGGTAATTATGCAAATTAGCTAATACGTAATTATATTATGCACCGTTTGTCCATGTTAACAAAATTTTGTAAAAAACTTGTAATACATTTTTTGTTTGTCTTGATGTAAGTCATCAACTCAGTGATTTTCATGATGATATCTAAAGGTTAAAATCTTTACCCTTTTCACGTGAGAATGAATGAATAGGTGAATGAATGGGATATATTTGGGTCTTTTTCGAAACGGTCCCCTAATGGGATTCTTCGGGGCTTTTTTTCCTTACTCAGGACATATTGAGGATACAAAATCAGTTGAGTTTGCTTCTGTCGCAATTTGTTCAACCTTTTTTCATAAAATGACTGGACTAATAATGGGTCTACTGTGGAGGAGGTTCGGCCAGGCAACCGTAGATCTCTTCGCCTCGCGCGAAAACGCCCATTGTCCTATGTTCTTCTCGCTACGGGACGAGGACGCCCCCCTCGGCGTGGACGCACTGGCCCACCCGTGGCCCAACGTGCTGCTCTATGCATTTCCTCTTCTTTGCCTCATAACGCCGTCTCTGGCCAGGGTGGGGGAACAGAGCTTGACCATGATTTTGATAGCTCCCAGGTGGCCCAAGGCGCCGTGGCTCTCAGAGATTATCCCTCTGCTGTATGCCCAGCCATGGCCCCTCCCACTTCGCACAGACCTTTTGTCTCAAGCGAACAGGGAAATTTATCACCCGCACCCAAACAGGGTGGCCCTCTGGGCCTGGCCCGTGAGAGGGCCAACTTAAACACATTGGGGCTCCCCCCACGTGTTGTAGCCACCATTCAGTGTGCCAGAGCCTCTTCGACACGGTCTCTTTACGACTGTAGGTGGCGTGTGTTCGAAGAGTGGTGTGAAGGGCGACGGGTAACGTCATATCAGTGCTCAATCACTGACATTTTATGCTTTTTGCAGGACCTTATGGACAAGGGAAGATCCTTTTCCACTATTAAGGTCTATTTAGCGGCTATCGCTGCATGTCATGTGGGGTTCGACAGCGCTACGGTGGGGCAACACCCCCTTATTCGGAGGTTTATGAAGGGCGTACGCCGCTCTCTTCCAGTCCCCAGGAGTAAATTCTCTCTCAGTGGAGATCATTTTTTTCTCAGGCCCAACCCGGCCTTTATGCCAAAATGCTTTCCGGCATTCACTTGTGAGGTGATTTAGCTTTCTGCGTTTCACCCAGCTCCTTTCTCCTCCACAGAGGATCAGAGGCTGAACGCTTTGTGTCTTGTACGTGCCCTGCGGGCATACTTAGACAGGACCAGCTCGTTTCGAAAAAGCGACCAGCTTTTCATCTCTTGGACTCAGGGAACCCCATTTCCAAGCAACGCCTTTCTCATTGGCTTGTGAAAGCTATATCTTTGGCATATGAATCAAAGGGAGTGCAGCCCACAGAGGGCATCAAAGCTCACTCCACTAGAGGTATAGCTGCCTCTTGGGCTCTATTTAAGGGAGTCTCTTTGCAGGACATATGTGCCGCTGCAAGCTGGGCCTCTCCCCATATGTTTGTCAGATACTACCGGCTCAATGTCACCAGAACCCCGGTAGCTCATTCTGTCCTGGGTGTCGGCACTTTTAAGCTTGGTGCTCTTAGGCCCTCCACCCCTCTTTAAGTCTGGGCTGCCTAGTCCAGCACTTTAAAGTAACTAAGCATGTTTCTAATCTTCACCTGGCACCATATAATTCACCATTATGAGTGTGGTCAGGTTTATTCACGAATGCATGTTACCACATGCTATTCTTTGTTGCTAAAGTGGCTTCCTCACTTTGTGTGGTGGTTTCCTTGTGACGTGTCATGCACCACCTTTCGAGGTGACCGTCCTCTGGCTTTCAGGGCCTCATTGTAGTGTATTGGGCAATCGGGGAGCTGTCCATATCTCCCATAGGTGGATCTCGAACACGAGATGATGAAAGAGAACAATAGGTTACTGATCGTAACCCCGGTTCTCTGAAACATCGAGTGGAGAGATCCACTAAGCTTGCCCCGCTTGCTGCACGAGAAGCGAATATGCTCACTGAGGTAAGATAGCGCGTGCTAGTGTTTTATACACTTGGTAAGGGGTGGGTCCCTTACCGAGCATTGGACACGCGCTTCTGTCTGTCAGACCAGACTTGGTGCAATTGGATGCTTCTGCAGAGGTCAGGTGCGGATGCCCTTCCCATAGGTGGATCTCTCCACTCGATGTTTCAGAGAACCGGGGTTACGATCAGTAACCTATTGGTTTAACATGTCGTATAAAACATATAGTGGTCAATGGGAAATTCAATAGGGAATTTCATATATTACAAATATATTGGAATTAAAACAATTTGAGGAAATGTATTGAATGTACAGGAGTTTGGATGGGAGAAAGCGTGAAATATATGTTTGTATAAACCCTTATTTTTCATTTACATTTGTATTGTTATGTATTAATTTGTTTATTTTAAATTTAAAATGTTTATTTTTAACATTTTCATTGAGTACAGCATTACAATCTTTAATTATCTGATGATGATCTTGAATGTTGTTCCACTTTTGTATATTTTGTTTCAATTGGAAAATAATTGTTTTTAAATATTAGAATCTCACATTTGTCATCAAAGTTCCAACACTAAGTTTAACTTTGTTAATCAAGTGGATGAAAACAAATATACAGTTCCTTTACACTTAATTAAGATAAAGGTGGCTGCTCTTTTTTTTAATTAGTGAGAGAGGGGTATAAAATATAGGTTTGGTCAGTTTATCTAACAATCCATTTTCAGTCTAACATCCCAATATCTTCTCTTTCATACAGACACAGATGTTAGATGTTTACCTGTACTCTTGTTGTCACCACAGTGACAAAGTGAACTGTCATTTTTCTTTATTCTTTCAGAACCTACAACTTCCATCTCTGATCCATGCTATAATTATAACACTCTTGATGAATCCTGGAGAGACATACGACAAAACCCATATCAGTACTATGGACAGTATGATGACACTCTTGTTGAATGGAGTGGCTGGTATCGGCTGTTCTTAAATGGAGAAAGTGCCCAGATGTCTGAGTGGTGTGTGAGTTATGTGGGATGTGGTGGTTACACTGGACTCTATCTCAACGGTTCTCACCCAACACTTGAGGATGGAGTGGTGACCCGTGAAGTCCTGGGAACTACTTTATGGTATTGGTGGGGTTATGCCCGTGAGTGTGGCGCCTACAGTTCCTCATCCATCCGAGTCAAAGCCTGTCCAGGAGATTATTACGTCTATGAACTTGTCAAACCCATCGTATCAGCTCCAGGCCCCATGTACTGTGCAGGTACAATATTCAATCTTATCTTTAGGATTTTTGCTATGATTTTTTATTTCAGTATTAGGAGTAAATGCTCTATCTATTAGATAATTTAACATGCATTTTTTTTTTAAAATGAAAATAATCATGTGTTAACTAATTAGAATCAGTGGTGTGCAGGTCATTATTCATTCTGTATCTATTATGTTACAAATCAATAGCACCTAGATCTCTTTGTTACACAATTCTTCAAATCAAACTTTAGGCGACTTGTTCAATAATTAATATGTAAACGGTAAAACATTGTAATATTACTCTACAGTCCTTTTGTGCCTATTTGCAGTCAAGTTTTTTTTTGCTACTGTAGACTTTCCCCACTTTGAGCTTGAAAGTACACTACTTGTTAGAATATAATTGCTAGTTAGTATATACATATACAGTATATAATACTTTTGCAAACTCCATGACAGTTGCTTTCCAAAGCATCAGCAGTGATCCCTGCTACAACTATGAGTCTCTGGATCGTCCCTGGAGAGCCAACAATGAAAGTGGAGATTACATTTGTGATGAACGTTTCTCCTGGAATGGCTGGTACCGGCTTTTCTACTATGGAATGGACATCCGGATGTCAGAGACCTGTGTTAGTTCATTCACCTGTAATACAAACATAAATCTGTGGCTCAATGATCCTCACCCTCAGATAGAGGATGGAGTGGTGATCAGGGAGGTCTGTGGTGGTTATCATTGGGGAGGCTGCTGTGATTACAAGACAAGACCCATCAGAGTGAAAGCGTGTCCAGGCAATTACTATGTCTATGAACTTGTGAAACAAGCATGGTGGTGTACAGGATACTGCACAGGTACTGTGATTTCTTAATTTATTTAAGTATTTTAAACCTTTTAAAATTATATCTCCCATGACATTAATTTCCCTCTTTTTAGATGTCAGCACTATTTCACAGGCGGTTTCCACTATAAGTCCAGATATATTCACTGGATCCACCATCAACTTGAGTAAGTTGTAAATGATATATATGAATATTAACCTCGTTAAAACCAGACCATTCTCAGTTGTAACTGAGTTAGGGTCTGGCAAAGCTTCATAGACAAATCATTTCCAAAGGGGCGTGCGTCACCAACGGACGTAGCTCAAATGCCTCTGGGCGTAATTGGATAGACCTAAAACCAATCAGAGTGATGAAGGAGATGACGTATGCAGAGCGACATTCGTCTGTCATAGAACAACTTAGTTTGAATAAACGAGCAGACACTGGTTAGCTACTTGCTCTACGTTTATTTAAAATTAACAGCAAGACAACTAGAGGTGAATGTGCTTTCCATTAAATAAATCACACACAGTAAACAAAACCTTAACAAAAAAAAACTTTGCAATGAACTTTGCAATTTAGACGCGCAAACTGGGTGCCGGTGCGGTGAGACGTAGTAGCCTACATGCTCGGGCAGATTCGGCTTGAAGTCGTTCATCCTCGGACAAGTTTTTTTGCTACTGTATATAGCAGAAAACAGCCGCGCGCGCTGTTACAAAAAAAGCCGTGCACACAGCCAAGCGGAATGGAGTCTTGCCAATCTTGCGCACCGAACGTGTCATTTTTGCCGCGCGCACCTTCGCACTCTTGCGGACACGTCGAGTATAAACAAGGCTTTACTCCGTGTCAGCGCGCGCTCTGATCAGTAAAGGGACAGATATTTCAGACCTCCGTTTATTAAGGAGAACTCCAAGATTTCTCTTCTTGTGAGGCGGACACAGACCGCCTCTGTTTCCCTCGTAAACTGATATTAGTTTTTAAACATTCTCTATGATGAAATTGTTTGTGGAAAAAAATATTTAAATAACATGGTTTTGCCGGTTATAGAGTTCTAATGACGGTGTTCAACTATAACTGTCACAACGTTCCGTCGCTGTGCTGTCGTCATCGTGTAAAGCCCGCCTCAACGTTTCTGATTGGTGCCGTGATTTCAACGGATTAGAAATGGGCTTGAATGAGCTCTTTGCCTGACTAATTTGCAGAGCAAACCAAAATTTGCCCGAAGTTGTCTGGGTTTTCCCAGGCTATATGAATATCTGAGTGTAATTAAAAATTGTATATTTCTTTTCAAATAAAGATTTGCATTACAGCTTAAATGGATTTTTTTTGTGCATAAACATTTTCACTTATTACACAGTTGCATTGTGTGAATGGTTTATGAATCTCATTATTACAGTGTTTGACTGGTTTAGATTTCCGCTTGTGAAGTTCCTCATTGAGATATAACTTGTTTGTTTTGGTCTCATCATCTCTCACTAACACAGATTATGACCCGTGTAATAACTACAACACACTTGACAACTACTGGAGAAGCACACTCAATTACTGGTCTAGTAATGGATACATATCTGATCATGATGACACTCGTGTAGAATGGGACGGCTGGTATCGACTCTTCATTAATGGATCAAGTGCTCAGATGCCTGAGTGGTGTTTTAATTATATGTCATGTGGAGGTTATAGTTCTCTGTATCTTGGTGACCCTCATCCTCGGCTAGAAGATGGAGTTGTTACTCGTGAAGTTTACGGCTCTCGTAATGATCAGTGCAGTCGCTACAGATCCGACCCAATCCAAGTCAAAGCTTGTCCTGGAAATTATTATGTCTACAAATTTACCAGACCAACTCTTTCAATCCCAGATCCTGTATATTGTGCAGGTACATTCATTCATCTTTATATCTGACATGCTTATCATGAATTGTATTGGTTTGTATTCTAATATTATCATCTTGAAAATATTTAATTTGCAATATTCAGTATAATGCTCTCTTTCTCCTTTTTTGCCTAATAGTGTCTTTCTCCACTCCAAGTGTCGACCCCTGCTACAACTATACCAGTCTGGATGAGCCTTGGAGATCCACTGACAACTATTACTATAATAACTATAACTACTATAGCATGTGTGATTATAATGTGGAGTGGAATGGCTGGTACAGGATGTTCTACAATGGTGAAAATACTCAGATGTCAGAATCATGTGTAAATCAAGGCATGTGTGGCACTTATGAACCACTGTCGCTCAACGGCGCTCACCCACAGCTGGAAGATGGAGTGGTCACCCGTCAGGTCTGTCTCTCCTCATGGAGCGGCTGCTGTACTTACAAATCCCATCCTATAAGAGTCAAAGCCTGTCCAGGAAATTACTACGTTTATGAGTTTGTGAAGCCAATGGTTTGTGGAGCTTACTGTGTTGGTGAGCATTTACGTACAATCTCCATTCATTTATTTTTCTGGATTTTGTTTGAAAATGATTGATGTTGATAAGATTTTCCTAATACCAGATGCCTCAAACCAGTCCATCTCATCAACAACAGAGACGATCCCATCCATAGAATCCATTACTCCACCAATCACAACCACTGGTAAAGTATGTCTTACTTCATTCCTAAACATTTTTTTTGTAAATGCATTTTTTCTTAAACATGAATTGTTGATTTATTATTTAACATTGAAATGTTCCTGTTTATCTAATTAAGTAAATTCATAATAATTTGTGCAGGAAAGGTGAGTAAAAAATCTAATTAGAAATAAGTAATACAGCTCACAAATAAGTATGCAATTCAAACTCTTATGCAAGCAAAAAATAAATTTTTAGGCAATGTGAAGTATTGCAGTGTTGTTAATAGTGAAAACTAAACCACCAGCATTTCTTAAATTCATTTCATAACCCCAAACTCTTCACATATCTCAAAAATCAGAGAGGAAATTACTTAAAGAGAAAGTTCTCCCAAAAATTTAAATTATGTAATCTCATGATTTACTCAATCTCAAATTGTTTTAAATCTGTATAAATACTCTTCTTCTGCTGAACACAAAAGAAGATATTTTGAAGGACAATGTGCAAAACGAACTAATTAGCGATTCATATATGCAAGTGTAATAAACTATGTAATTAAAGGGATAGTTCACCCCAAAATGAAAACTGTCCCTTATGTTGTTCCAACCCCGTAAGACTTTCGTTCATCTTCGGAACACAAAGATATTTTTCATTAAATCTGAGAGCTGTCTCACTCCTCCGTAGGCTTCTCTGTAATTGAAACTTGCCGGCCCAGAAAAGTTATTAAAGATGTGTAATTAAAATGTGATTTTCAGTCAACAGTCTGTGCAGTCAACCACTTGCATTTGTATTTATTTATCAAATAGTGGTAAAGTAGGTTTTGAAAGCACTGACTCCTTGAAGTCAATTTGCTTGTAATCTTTGCACCCAATTGCATACTCAAATGTGGCTGTTTTATAGCACAACTGCTACAAAAAATATATATCACAGCTTCCATTTATTCATTCTGCAAAATATATATTTTTAATTTTTCCTTGACAACAGCTCCCCCTGTTGACCCCTGCTACAACTACAATATCCTGAATGATTCATGGAGAGCCACCAACAATCAACATTCCTCTGAAATAATGTGTGACACTGCGGTCAGCTGGAACGGCTGGTACCGTCTCTTCATTCAGGGTCAGAGCGTTCAGATGCCAGACACATGTGTTGATGAGTATAGTTGTGGCACTCATGCTCCTCTGTGGCTGAACGGAGGACATCCAACAGTTGAGGATGGAGTGGTCACTCGAGATGTCTGCGGTCACTGGGGCAATAACTGCTGCTATTTCCAATCCAATCCCATTAAAGTCAAAGCCTGTCCAGGAGATTATTATGTCTATGAGTTTGTGAGCCCAACTTTCTGCAGTTTGGTTTACTGTGCAGGTGAATATATTTACATGTGCCCTTTGTTTATGTAAAACATACTTGTTATTTATGTAATATTTATAATTTATTTCAGATTCAAGCAACATAACCACTACTACTGTCACGCCAGAGACAACCACAGATGAAACTACAACCATGGACACTACGACGGGTAATATAATGTATTATGTTACAATCTGGAGGATTATTGTTTAGCATGAGCAAATCAGATCCATGTTATGTGTTTGTGATGTACCGGTATGTAAATAGTTTAAAAGAATTTATAAAGCCATATAGGCAATTATATTACGAGCTATATTATGCATAGAATGCATTTTTAGGCAACTTGGAGTACTGAAGTGTTGTTAATGAAAACTAAACCACCAGCCATTGCATAAGCCCAAACTGTTCAAATATATCAGAGAGGAAATTACTTAAAGGAATAGTTCACCCAAAAAGGAAAATGCTGTCATCTCATCTCATGATTTACTCACCGTAAATGTATGAATTTCTTTCTTCTGCTGAACACAAAAGAAGAAATTTTGCAGAATGTTTGTAACCAAACAGTTGTGGGTCATCATTGATTTCCATAGAATGTTTGAGAACAACTTGTGTGAGTAAAATGATCACAGAATTTTCATTTTGGGGTTTTGGTTATGTACACACAGATATAAATAAATAAAATAATCAGAGTGTTAGTAATTTGTAATTTGATAGCCTTTTATACATTCACACAATTGTATAGTGTATTGTTGTTCATAATTTGGCTCAATATCACTTGCCATGGCTTTTGGGGAGATTTGTGGACCCCTGGCTATTTCTGACAGATTATTTTGTGATCTTGTCACCAGTTTTACTAAATATGTATGGAGCTGAACTAAACTGGGAGAACTAACCTTTAAAGAAAGAGGCAATTATAGGCAGCAGTATCTATATTGGACTTATATTGCGTAAAAAATATCCAGTGCTACACATTCCACATGTGGAGAACTTAGAGGATATTTATATGGAAATCTTAAAGGTAAAGTAACAACACTCCAGCAATTTAATTCTTATGGCCAGGTGGATGGAAAATTAATGTGAAAAACCCTGACTTTACTATCTTTCCTCAATGGGAAAATTATTAAAAATGGAATGACCCATTTAATTTAGAAGAGAAAATACCTTGAGGAATACAGAGAAATAATTATTCAGGGGACCAAAATGTAAAGTTTGTAAGCTTAACATAACAAATGTCTTTGTGTTGTATTTCATCTATCTGTGCTTTTCCTCTTAGATGTGAGAGATCGCTGTTCTGAGCTCAGCTGCTCTGAGGATGAATTGTGTGGGAAGAAAAATGGTGTTTATGGCTGTTTATGTAACGAAGACCAACCCAGACAACAACTTGACTCTTTTGGTTTGTATCATTCAAAACAAAAAAAAAGTCATTTGTTGCCTTTTTCTTTTTTAATAATTCTGACAATCATTTGTCTCTCTCTTTTTCTTTTTCTTTTTTTTGTACTCAGATTTCTCAGAAACCTGTGAAAGCAGCTCTGGCTCTATATCTGTGTCTCGCTGTCAGCTCTTTGAGGCTGGTTTTCCAGCTGATGTCTTACACCTCAATGATCCCGGCTGCAAAGGAACGGTCCGGAATGGCAGAGTGGAATTCCATTTTGATGATGATGAACACATCTGTGGAACTAATCTTGTGGTAGGTTAAACTACTATTCAAATAATCCATTCAATTATTTGTATTGCCTGATAGAACAGAGTTTGATCACTATGAGACTTTGAGAAGTATGTAGGCAGGTCTGTAAGGGTACTGAATAATCAATCTGTAATAACCAATGAAAGGTCCCAAACAGACCTCCCTAAAAACTTCTCAGTGTCTGGAAGAGATTCAGTAGGGAAGGGTACACAACACCATGACACAACAGAGACTGGAACTTCTCCACCATTAAAATGTAACCCATCATAATTTTACTTGACTGATGAAACCTTTTGGGTTTTTGAGTGTTGCTCAGTGGTGGAAAGAGTACTAACAAATTGTACTTAAAAGTATTGCTACTTAAGTAATCATTTACATGAGAACAAGTAGAAGTACTGAAAAATAATATGACTCAAGTAAGAGTAAATAAGTAGTTTGCTTAAAAACTACTCAAGTAACTACGTTACAAAGTACTTTAGTATTATTTTTCAATTTTTGCCCAAAATGGGAAGATGATAGCGATATGGAGCACTAAACACTCAACCCCGTTTAATGCAATGTGAATCAACATAGCTTGTATCATATAATTTAATAAAATAATATATTCTCACTCTGTGTTAAGAAGCAACATGAAACCAATTTCAAACACGACTGACATGTATTGTTATTTTGAAAAGTAAGTCCAGGAAAGATATCATTTGAATGTTTCATTTGAATCATTTCAAAATTGAAAGCAAAGAAGGTTAAGTGAGAGGACCCATTAAAAAAGAGATTTACAACAGTAGCCTATGAATAAAAAAATATTAAGTGGGGTACGGGTTAACATTAATTAAATACTCTTTTTTTTTTTTTTTTTTTTTTTTCTACTTATAATTTGCTGGGAGGCCATTGCTGCTATTGTAACGAACTACACTTTTACATGCCTCTGATTGACAGATAAATCATGCGATCTTATTTCACTGTTGTTGAGGTTTTTTTTAGCTTTGTACAACGTTTGCTTCGTACATTTAGTTTAACTATTGTTAAGGAGGGCGAGCTTTACCATTTAATTGAGCTGTGCATGCGTTTTAGACACTTACATTGTTCTTGCTCCGTCAGTGCAATAACTGCGTCTATGTTATGAGCCAAGTTTTTTATTTACTTCAGTGCTCTGGTATTATCAATGGGATTACTTATTTCAGGAGTTGCTAATAATTCAAATTTAAAGTCAGAATATTAGCATAGCTCACTTACATTCACTGAAATATTGAAACGTTAGCGATACTGATTCAAAACCAAGGGTGTAATCCATCAGCCGGAAGTTGAAGCCTCGCGGGAGCCGCCATTGTAGCAGAACTTCACCTGCTGTTAGCACTCCATTGACTCCCATTCATTTTGGCGTCACTTTGACAGCGAATAACTGAGGCGTTTAAGGACTCCATTTGTCCATTGTTTATTTCTAAAGAAACCAACACATTCTCATCCCAAGGCGTCATCTAACTGACACTTTTGACCATGCGTCAACATGCCGACGCACATGGTACACCTTAAGCGTCAGTTAGATGACGCTTCCGTTATGGGTAGGTTTAGGTCTGGGGTAGGGTTAGGGTTAGACCACTAGGAGGCGCGTCTCATATTGACGCTTAAGGGGTACCATGTGCGTCGGCATGTTGACGCATGGTCAAAAGCGTCAGTTAGATGACGCCTTGGGATGAGAATGGGCTGAAGAAACACGACAATGTATAAAAGGCTCCATTACTTTGTATCTTACGTTATGGCCCCGTAGAAGCAGTTTTTGTAAAAATAGGCTAACGATTGCGTCATAACACGCGACTCTCTGTCGCACAGTAGAGAAATTACCGTATAGACAGGAGGAGAAGCTCGCATGCAATCGGGGGGACGTGGAGGCATAAAGTCGAGGGAGAAGCCCATAGAGAGTCATAAAGTTGATCCTGCTGCTAGCTCATGGACAGCTAATACTCACTGTAGGAGCCATACTTACCACCTTATTTAATTTTGATAAATTTGTTAATTTAAATATCAGAATGTTGTTGTATTGTTAATTGTGTTTATTTCTCTGAGTGTGTGCCCTCTATAGGTGAGAGGGGAAAAGTTGTATAAAGGATAGGCCACCCCTGACAGGAAGGGGGCGCTGGTGCAAGAGCACACAGTCTTTTGATCGTGCACATGGAGCTAGGGTGGCATGGTGCAACAAACCTGCAAGCGGCCTAAAAGTTGTTTGTTTTGTTTTATGTTACAATGCATCTTTATTTTTGATTTAATAAACTTCAGTTATTTGTTTGGAACATCAACACGCCTCTCTGGATCTATTCATGGTACTTTGCACGCGTCAGAACCATAGCATCAGCATCTCCCACAGTGGACAAGAAACTTGTTTTCACCACTACAAATTGTCAAAAGACTGGCTTTGAAAATGGAATATGTTTGAGAAAAGGAGGATTATCCATAAACCTGAACGGAGTGGATGGACTGTTTGAAGACCGCATGGCATTGGAAGCAGAGAACAAAAGAAACTTCTCAAAGAGGTATGTGCTTTCGGAACCAAAGTGCTGAGTTAAATTTGAATGTTACTGGAAAAACTCAAGTTTGATGCTGCAAACTGTGGATGAAAGGATTAATTTGATGAAGAGTTCAAAGGTCTTGATGCATGCCATTTTAAAGAGGAATCAAAGGAAATTTGAAAAGTTTGTGTCTTTGGCAAGATGATATTTGCTTGATTGAGACAAAATGGAGGACAAGTCTTATCTAGAACAATCCCCAAACTCAGCTCAAAGAGATTTGAATGAGGTTGCTGCTCGTTTGAAAGCCTCTAGAGCAGGCAAGATGGCACACCTTACAAGACGAATTAATATTGTTAACTCTTTGATGACTGATGCTGAATATCTTGAAGAAGTAAAGGGAAACATGATGAAGTTCAATGAAATGTTTGTTGAATTCAAGTCTCTTCAAGAATCATATGTACAAATGTTAAGTGAAGAGGATAAAGTTGAAGACCTGAAAACCTGGTATGAACCAAGAATGAAACAAGTTGATATGTTTGTTTCTACTGTTGAGAAGTGGATGTCTAATATTCAAGAAGAATCAGACTTTCAAACTAGTACTCCAGTTTCTTCTGCTCTAAAAGTGACTGACCAGCTAAATGATGATGATGATAACACTTCAGTTGTCTTGTCTGTGCGTAGCAGTAGATCTGGCAGATCTAGCAGATCAAATTTAAGCAGATCAAGTGTGTTAACATCAGCCTCAGCTCGTATCTGTGCAGAGGCAGAGAGGGCAGCTTTACTTGCCAAAGCCAATACACTGCAACAAAAACATGCTATAGAGAAGAAAGAAGAAGAACTTAGAAAGATGAAGGAGGTGTGGGAAGTTCAAGCTGAAATTGCAGCCAACACCGCAAAAATCGAGTATCTCAAGTATGCTGAGACCTCAATAACCAATGGAAATGCTGTTGAAGATGATGCCATGAATGTGTATTGTAAGGAGATGTTGGATAAAACTCCAGTGCAACAAGATGTGCGCCCAAAAGAGACACTTCATGAACTCTCTACAGCACCAACTCAGACTACAAGACATTCTTTTCCTCAGAACAGCAATGCAATTCAACAACCCACCACCATGAAGACTGACTCCAAACTCCCTGCACAAATATCTCATACAGCTCAAGCAAGACCTCTAGAAAGTAGAGAATCATCTTCATCTAATGTCATTCAAGGGCCTGATCTTGCTAAAATTCTTCAAAAACAAAACAACTTGACAGACATGCTTGTGAAACAACAACTTCTTTCCACCTTACCAAGAGGGGAAATTCCAATGTTTAGTGGAGATATTCTGCAATACAGGTCATTCCTTCATTCTTTTGAGCACATCATTGAAACTAAAACAGATGATAATGCAGACAGGCTGCATTTTCTCATTCAGTACACAAGGGGACTACCACAGGAGCTGGTAAGAAGTTGCCAACACATGTCACCGAACCAAGGTTACCAAAAGGCAAAGCAGCTATTAAAAGAACACTTTGGTAATGCATATAGGATTTCATGTGCTTATATTGAGAAAGCTCTTTCTTGGCCTTCAATCAAGCCAGAAGATCCAAAGGCTTTACAGGCCTTCGCATTGTGTCTTAGAAGCTGCTGCAATAGTATGGAAGACTTGAAGTTCATGGAAGAACTGGACACAGTCTCCAATATGAGGTGTATTGCTTTCAAGCTCCCATATAAGCTCAGAGAGAGGTGGCGCACAAAGGCATTTGAGTTGCAAGAACAGAGGAACAAGGTAAAGATGGTAGATCTCGTCAGCTTCATTGAAAAACAAGCTAACATTGTCTCAGACCCAATATTTGGTGATATCCAAGACTCAAGCCCAAGTAAAGGAAAGCCCAAAGTGCTAGTGAAGCCCAAATCCAAAGGCAGTTTTGCTACCAATGTGCATGTGAACTCACCACAGACCACATCTAAGGATTCACAGCCAATTTCATGTCTCTACTGTAACAATGGACATGATTTGATGTCATGCTTGCAGTTTGAAAAACAGCCGCACAGAGAAAAGATAAACTTTATAAGACAGAATGGAATCTGTTTTGGGTGTTTAACCAAAGGAGGACATATAAGTAAAGACTGCACACAGCATCTGAACTGCTCCATATGCAACAAACAGCATCCAAGTGTGTTACACATTAAAGCATTGGAATCATCAAAACAACTGAAGAAAACACCTGTGAGTAGCACACAGGTCTCCCTTCAAGATGGTAAGCATGCTGGAGTCAGAAACATGCAGTTTTACACAGAGTGTTTGTTGTCAATTGTACCAGTACAGGTTAAAAGTTCAAAAGGAAGTAAGATTCTGCACACATATGCCTTTCTTGATCCTGGTAGCTCGGCAAGCTTCTGCACAGAGGATCTTATGAGGAAACTCAACATTACTGGAAGAAAGACCAATATTCTTCTTCGAACAATGAGCCAGGATAAGTCTGTGCCCTCGTACATTGTCAGTGGGTTGGAAGTGTC